CAATATACAATGATATGGAAGAATTTGAGTGTCCTTGTATAAGAAATGCAAAAAGTTAGCCTCAGCAAGTAATTAGAGAGGTGTTATGCCCAAAGAGAGAAAGAGGGATCCTAAACTGCTTTATTAAAAGCTTTATAACGTTTAAGTTTATTTTTAAACAAGTGATTCTTGTAGATTTTAAACTGTCTGTGATCAAACTCAGTGAAGAAGTTAACTGCATCCAGAAATTTCTGGCTATTACCAGGACAAAACAAAACTCATGAACTCCTGCAAAGTGACACTACTTGTATTGTTTGAACATTCCAACCAAGCCAATACAAAGGACTAGTAGGTGAGATGCTTTCCCCAAGAAAACCTGAACAAAGAAGACAGTCAAAGCCCAAAGTCCAGGTGAAGTAGCACTTTACCTGCACTTCACACAATCTAGTCTACTGCATTTGCTGCTCAGTGTGGTCATCCTCTACATTGGGAAAAACGAAGCGTAGACTAGGTGACTGCTTCGCAGAACACCTACGTTCTGCCTACAAAAATGACCCTGAGCTTCCAATTGCCTACACTTCAACATACCACCCTGCTCCCTGGCCAAAATGTGCCTCAGGCTTGCTGCAGTGTTCCAGTGAAGCTCAGCCTAAACTGGAAGAACAATACCTCAATATTCCATTTGGGGATCCTGCAGCCTTCTGGACTCTATCAGGTTCAATAACTTTAGGGGTTGAATTTCTCTATGTCCTAGTCCGCACCTCCACACACCGGACCTTGTGATCACATAGTCTGCTATTACACATAATCCATTGTTAGCCATTAACATTCTCCATTAACAGCTATTCACCCTCCTAGCCAGATTGTTATCCACTCCTTTGTCTGTCCAACTGTTCACTCTCTCTCTCCCTCCCTCTCTCTTTGGGCACTATCCACACCTTTCACTTACTCCTTTTCCCCTTCCCCCACCCTATCTTCTACATAAAAACCGACATTTTCCTATCTACCATCAGTTTTGAGGAAGGGTCACCAGACCCGAAAGGTTAACCCTGATTTCTCTTCACAGCTGCTAAGCGTTTCCAGCAATTTATGTTTTTGTTTGTGATTTACAGCGTCAGTAATTGTTTCGGTTTTTAACCGAAGCCCATTACCGCTTGACTTGGTGTGAACGTCCCTCATGAACTGGTTCAAAACAGAATTGTTTCTAACAAGGGTAACATCAAAACGATCACATTATCTAAGTGTTTCAATTCAAAACTCCAGTCACATGACAAACTGTTAGGTTATTTGAACAGAAAACAAAAAAATGCTGGAGATCACAGTGGGTTAGCTGGCATCAATGGAGAGAAAGCAAGCTAACATTTTGAGTCTAAATGACTCTTCATCAGAGCTGAGGGAAGGAGATGGTGGATGGTGGAGTCTGCTGGGGGACAAAGGATGTTGATGCTTCATACTTTCTTCCCCCAGCACTCTAACCCCTATTATCCCAAATTATTGCATAAACGTAGCCCCCTCCAGACTTCATGTCAGCTCTGATGAAGAAGTCATCTAAACTGGAAATGTTAGCTTGCTTTCTCTTCATGAATGCTGCCTAACCCGCTGTGATCGCCAGCACTTTTTTGTTTTTTGTACAGATTTTTAGTATCTACAGTAATTTGCTTGTAGGTTGTCTAAACCACCTTTAACTGCACAACTTTAACGTTTGTCTATCAATATGTCTGTAATACAAAAACAGTTAGCAGCACCAGGCTTAGTTAAAAGCCTGATCTGATCTCAATATCTCTTAAATGTTTGATTTACGAAAATAAACTTGTGTTTCACCCGCAAAGTGAACCAATTCCCAACATACAACCTACTATACCTTCACCACAAATTCGATTTGATGTGTCCTCCTGCAGACTAGACATCCGAGCACAGCTAACTGAAAAGGACTTCAACCGGGTAATAATTTCCTGAGCACGTGAATTCACAAAACTAATTTTGATATCCTTCACTTTAAGTAATTTCTAACTTGTAAGTTCTTTATATTCTTTTGCTGGTCTTTGCATGAATGTAGTTGTGAACCACTCCCCCTGGTTTTGAATGTAGCATTATACCCTATTTTGCTTTAACCCTAAAGGATTTTCTTTGGCCATTTTAAAGTGAACTTCACAAATACAGCTTAAGGAGACAGATGAAGGCATTAAATTTGATGTAGTCTACTTGAACTGACATTAAATTTAAGAGCCCATACGATCCAAGGAAATTTGGCTAATTAGATTTACAATTGGCTAAGCAGCAGGAAGCAGAGGGTGATGGTTGAGGGATGTTTTGCCAACTGAAATCTGGGGTCCCACAGAGATCAACGCTGCGATCCTTGCTGTTACAGGCTCATCAGATGGGTCAGGGTCAAACAGAATTCAATCCAAAGAAATAGGTGGTGATGCTCTTGGACAGGACAAACAAGGCAACAATACATGATGAATGGTAGGACCCTGGGAAGCACCAAGGGGGATTAAAGGGCATTCATGTATACCGGTCCTTTAAGGTATCATACAGGTGAATAAAGTGGTTAAGGCAGCATAGAGTATAATAGCCTTTATTAGTTGAGGCACAGAATTTAAGAGCAGGGAAGACCCTGTATAACACATTGGTTAGGCCACAGCTAGAGTACTGTATGCAGTTCTGGAAACCAAATTATAGAACAGAAGTGATAACACAGGAGGCGCTGCAGGGGTGATTTACCAGGATGTTGCATAAGCTGCAGAGTTTCAGTTATGAAGGGATATTAGACATACTGAGGTTGTTTTCCTTAAAGCAGAGGAGATTGAATTGGGACATGATTATGTATAAAATCATGAGGGGCACAGATAGGTAGCCAGGAACAAACATTTTCCCTTGATGGAGGGATCAATGACCAGGGACATAGATTTAAGGTAAGAGTCTGAAAGTTAAGAGGAAATGTGAGGCAAAACCTTTTCATCCAGAGGTTGGTAGGAATCTGAAGCTCACTGCCTATAAGGGTGGTAGAGGCAGAGACCTTCATAACATTTAAGTAGTACTTAGATGTGCACTTACAAATCCAAGACATACAAGGCTATGAGCCAAGTGCTGGAATGTACAATTAGAATTGTTAGATGCTTGTTTGTGACCAGCATGGACACAGTGGGCTGAAGAGCATCTTTTTTCTATGCTCTAAATCGCAATGACCACAGCTTACTTTTATTGAAGAAAAGAAACCTTGAACACCACCTCTCTTATAGACAGAGGCAATAATGAGAATAATTTCAATTTGTCTCTCTCTCTCTGATCTATGACAAAGACAAATGGAACGTTGGCTTTTATTGCAAAGAGGATGGGTCAAAAAAGGAGGTCATTCCAGAACTGAATTGGGATTTGGTAAAACTGCACCTACAACACTACGTGTGGTTTTTGGCTCTATTTCTAGATGGATATACAACATTCAAAACAGTTCAGAGAATGATCATAACGTTGGCTGTTGGAATGAAGTGGTTTTCTAATGAACAAAGGTTGAGTAAGGTGGGTTTATACTTTGTGTAGTTTAGAAGAAAAGAGGTAATCTCATTGAAATACAAAAGATTCTAAGGTAGTTTGCTTCACAGGCAAATAAAGGGTGTTTCCCCTCGCGGGGAAATCTAAAAGGAGGTCACTTAGAATATGAGGGTCTCCTATTAAAGATGTTGAGAAGAAATTTCTCTCTCAGAAGGTTATTAGTCTTTGAAATTCTCTATCACAGAACAGCTGAGCCTGGGTTATTAAACATATTCATAGTTGAGGTGGACTGAATTTTGATCAACGGTGGAGTCAAGGGTTACTGGGACAGGCACCAAAGTAGAGTTACAACCACAATCAGATCAGCCACAAACTTATCAAAATGGTAGGGTAGGCTTAATAGGGCAATTGGCCTAGTCTTGCTCATTAAGTTTGACAGGCCTCTATCTGTGCTGTAGCATTCCTCAATTCTATGGTGTTGGATTTGGACTGCATACAGCAAAGAACCCAGGAGAATTGTAGCAAAGATTAAAAGGGAGAAATTGGAAGTATAAATTGAAAAACCTTGACATCCATTTCTTCGAAGTTAGATAGTTCAGAACTGATCTAATTCAAGTGTTTAAAAGATAAAGACATTTGATAGGAAATACTTTCTCGGTGTTCACTCTATGATGGATAAATCTAAAACGAGAGTGCAAAAGGAGGAACATTAGAGCAAAGCCATTCAGGACAGAAATTTTCGTATACAGTTAAAACCCGGAATTTCTACTCCAAAGCTGTTGATGTTGGAGAAACTAAAATATTCAAGATCAAGATGGGTACATTTGTGTCAGGTAAGCTTATCAGCGGAAATGGATCAAAGACAAATAAGTGGAGACAAGTTTGAATTTTGCATTTGGTCACGGAATGAAAGAGTCACTGGCAAACACAGCATTTATTGTCCATCATTATTTGCACTCAAGAAATTGGTGGGGGTATGCTATGTCTGTGACCCGCTGCAAACCATGATCAACCATCATAAAATAGAACAGTAGAACAGGATTCACTGTCTGAAAGGTGCATGTACTTTAAACAGAAGTGCAATCTCTTTAAAATAATCTAACCCAGAAACGGGCAGAAGGTATCTCAACTAACATTATAAAGGTGCTGTTTTGAAATACATTTTAATAGTTAATGTATGAAATCCAAGTGATTATTGCAATTTTTCAGATTGCAGGCAAAAAGGAATTGTATAAAAACTTAACATCAATTGTAGTATGACAATATGGAATGAAATATTCCATTAACTACCTTTTAAAAATAATAGAAAGGAACGCTACTTTTTGCAGGATGGTTGTTTTTCAAAAAACAAACAAACTGTACATCTTCAGTGACTTTTCTTGAACTTTAAATATGATTATTATTACTAAATTTAACAATCAGTTCTACACATTAATTATGCAAATACTCATTGCTGAACAATTTTGATTAAAGGGAAATGGATAAACAAAATAACGTAGAAACTATGTAAAATTAGGCTGACTACCAACCTGATAAACTTGGACGTAATAGGATCATATAAAGACATTAAGACTTCGGCGTCCTCTCCTATTTTGCAGACAACATTCTTCAAAGTTACAAAGAGACTGAAAGAAGGTGTGACAGCAAACTTTGCTTGTCTGTTTATGTCAATGTTATGCTTCTGAGACTGTAAGTGAGACAGACAAGACAAGGTTATTTTGGATATCTAGAAAGTTATTATCGATTCAGTATTTTATTTACATATTCCACTTAAGCAGCAGAAGCATACATGCTCCAAGGACTTCCCATGCATATAAATATCACTTAAAAAGTTGTCTCTGAAGAATTACCACATGTCAAATCTACTCAGCAATTCCACAATGTATTTATTCCCACCATTTAGGGCAGAAAAAAAACCACAATTATTTCCTGGAGCTAAGTTACATGTTTAAATTGGAAGTTACATTTCCATTACCACATTCTCCCTTTTCTCTGTGAATTTAAAAAACAAAGCTTCCAAAGTCACAAATCATGCTAATTTAAAACAATCTTAGAAGATTTAAGCATCCAGATTCATCCAACTTTTTAAAAAAATTTTCATGAGTATTACTGGAAAGACCTCTCCATTAAAGTATCGTTTTGCCAAGGTATGACAGTCCCAGTACAATCTACCAATTTGTTTACAACTGCAATTACTATGTGGCTGTATTTCAATTAAACTAAAGCTCAGTTTTGCATATGGATTTAATTGTAAAATATATACTTAGAAAAGCATTGATTACAGCTTTAAATGAAAATTTAAAAATTTATACAGCTTGTCAATGGATATATAATCGGCGTAACAGCAGGAGACAAAGTGGTGGTAGAAGCTTGCTTTTTGGATTGGAGGCCCGTCACCAGACATGTCCCACAGGGATCAGTTCTGGGTTGTCTTTTGTTTGTCATTTATATAAATGATTTGGATGAGAATATAGAAGGTATGATTACTAAGTTTGCAGATGACACCAAAATTGGAGGCATAGAAAACCTTCTTCATTGTCTCCTAAGTTTACAAAGGGATTACGATCAAGTTAATTGATGGGCTGAAAAATGGCAGATGGAGTTCAATCTGGATAAATGCAAGGTATTGCTTTCTGGTCCAACAAACCGGGGCAAGGCTTATACAATTCATGATAGGGCCTTGGGTAGTGTTGTAGAACAGAGGGATCTAGGGATACAGGTACATAATTCCTTGAAGTTTGCGTCACATACAGACAGAATGATTAAAAAGGCATTTAGCATGCTTGTCTTCATTGCTCAGACCTTTGAGTATAGGAGTTGGGAAGTCATGTGGAGGTTGTACAGGACATTGATGAAGGCTTTTCTGGAGTACTGTGTCCAGTTCTGGACACCCAGTTATAGGAAGGATATTATTCAGGTGGAAAGGGTTCAGAAGAAATTTACCAGGATGTTGCTGGGTATGGAAGGTTTGAGCTATAAGGAAAGGCTGGATAGGCTGGGGCTATTTTCCCACTGGAGCGTAGCAGGTTGTGAGGTGACCTCATAGAAGTTTTTAAACAGGGGTATAGATAGGGTTAATAGGAGGTGTCTTTTCCCTAGGATAGCGAATTTCAAGACTAGAGGGCACATTTTTAAAGTGACAGGAGAGAGATTTTTTTACACAAAGGGTGGTTCGAGGGCACAATGGACTTTCTGAGGAAGTGGGCACAGTTATAACGTTTAAAAGACACTTGGATAAGTACACAAATAGGAAAGCTTTGGAGAGATATGTGCCTGGAGCAGGCAGGTGGGGCTAGTTTAGTTTGGGATTATGTTCTGCATGGTCTGGTTGGTCCAAAGGGTCTGTTTCAGTGCTGTATGACTCTATAAACTACCAACCACAATGTAAATCATTTATGGAAACTTACATCAACTTAAATTAACAATTGCAATGTTGGGGTGAATAAGGTTGCATATAACTGAAGATGTGAATAACAGTAACAGCTGTATTAACAGCAAAAGCTTTGGTAGTCTCACAGGAGACAGATTATTTCTGTCAGCAAAATCTGTCTGCCTTCCAGTGCCACAGTAACCTCACTCCTCAGCAGAATTTTAAATCCCACACTGCAGGAAGACATGATCAGGATAACTGAATACCATGCAAAGGTGGAAGACCGTTTGCAATTTTCAACAGGAGACAGAGTTTGAGTTCCATGTAATAGCTCATGATAGCAGGACTAATATCAATAAACCATCTTGGGAGACTTCCTTAAAATACTATACATAGTGAAATCATAAACGTTTTTACAAAGAACAGGTTTATAGTTTTTCCTACATACACGAACATAATAAAATTTCTCCCCTTGTGAATGAAGTGCAGCTAGATTCTGTGAGATAGCATTTCAAGCTCTAATTTGAGCTTGAAAACATTTAGTAAACTAAAAGCTAAATTTAAATTCTCTTTCTCCTGTTCAGATCTTCTCACATCAGGCAGGGTATTATAAAAAGGCCTAATAAATGGCCACCAAGATACACAAAGTGCTGAGTCAAGTGTAATTTATTTCTTACCCAAACTAATCTTCTTTTATGCCTCTCTTAGATAGCAAGAGTATAACCAGGAACACAGTCATGCATTGCATTCTGAGACTGTTATTCTATTAGTATCAACCATAAATTATTTGGAGTTGTTTGCAATTCATTAATCGCATAGTCTGCATACACTAATTATGAACGAACTAAAACCTTGGGTAGGGAAATTGAAACAATGCTTATAAAAAAATTTATAAAAATAAACAATACTACTCAAGCCAATTACTTTACTGAATATCCAGTTTTATTGATCAAATTAAATAGTACTTAAGCTTGACGTTCACTAACTCTGTCCAGTTGACCATACTCAAGGTTTTGCAGCTGATTTCAGTATCATTATAAAAGAAGTCCATTTGCTTGACAAAAAACAATCATTAGCTGACTGCTTTGGTAACAATCACCAAAAAGAGTCAAAATATTCAATTAAAAGATTCTGCATCCAACAAGTTTTAGTTGAAAATGTAAAATGAATGAACAGGGGTTATTTGAGTGTTTCAAATATTTGAGCAGAACAATAAAAAGATTCTAACAAGTTAATATTAGATAAATTGCATACACTAAACCATTTCATAAATCAACATAATATTGAAAAACTAAATGAATGAATTCATACAACGCTGAAGCCAAATTTTAACAGTAGTTACGACAGTTAAAATCAATTTACTACTTCAGCGATTTTGATATCTGCCAGTATGATCAGATTTTACAACTCTACAACAGAAAATCTGCAAATTAAGTTTGAGTAATAAGGGTATGGACTAAATACAAACAGGGCATAATTTCTAATGTTTATTTTTAGTCACAAATAGATTTGTTAAACTGCTTCATTTGGCCATAATTTTGCAAAGTATTCCTCCACGATTTCACTATTTATGGAAATGACCTGACTCAGTCCTCACTAAACACCACTTTGAAAGGAATATTCTCAATTTGGTTATCTTCTTTGAAAAGAAGTAAAATTGAAAAAGTAAAATTTGATTTTGCAATATTTCAAATATTTTCTTACCCAAACAGCAAATATATAAAAACATTTTACAGATTCAAATGTTTCACTTGACAAGGTTTGCATAGGAATGAATGATAAAAAAAATTTCAGGTCACAAAGCCTCAGCTACCCAGAATACAATTATTGATTGATTTCAGCAACAGGATGCAAGATATTGATTGGGATAGCTAAGTAACTACAAATTTCAAAAGCATTTGTGAAAGACCTAAGATGACACACATGCTTACAAAATAAAGTGGAATCTTCCATCTGAAAGACTAGTTTCTTGAGTTCATAAGATATAGGGGCAGAATAAGGCAGTTCGGTCATGGCTGATATGTTCCTCACCTTCATTTTCCTGCCTTTTCCCCACAACTCCTCAACTAACTACCAATTAAAAATCTGTCTAACTCTTCCTTAAATTTACTCACTGTCTCAGCATCCACTGCACTGTGGGGTAGCAGATTCCACAGATTCACAACCTTTTGTGAGAAGTAGTTTTTCCTTTACTCTGTATTAAATTTGCTACCCCTTGTCCTAAGACTATGACCTCTCATCCTGGAATGCCCCATAAGAGGAAGCATCTGCTCCACGTCTATTTTATCTATATCTTTTATAATCTTGAATACCTCAATTTGATCTCCCCTCATTCTTCTAAATTCCACAGAGTATAGGCCTAAACTGTTCAATCTCTCTTCATACGACAAACCTCTCATCTCTGGGATCAATCTAGTTAACCTCCTCTGAACTGCCTCCAAATACCTTCCCTCAAATAAGGGGACCAAATTTGTGCGCAATACTCCAGATGCAGTCTCACCAAAGCCTTAAATAGTTGCAACAATACTTCCTTTCCTTTATATTCTATTCCTTTAGCTTTTAAAGCCAACATTCCATTTGCTTTCTTTATTACCTGCTGTACCTGCATGCTAGTTTACTGTGATTCACAAACGAGGACACCCAGATCCCACTGCACCAGAGCACCCTGAAGTCTCTCCCCATTCAGATAATAGGTTGCCTTCCCATTTTTCTGACCAAAATGCATGACCCTCATACTTATCCATGTTAAACTCCATCTGCCATATTTTGGCCCACTCTCCTAACCTATCTATAATCCATTTGTAAGGTCCTTATTTCCTCATTGCAATTTACCATCCTTTTTTTATTTGTGTTGTCTGAAAATTTGGCTATAGAGCCTTCTATCGCTGTATTCAAGGCGTTAAGGTAGACTGTAAACAGCTGGGGTCCGAGGACTGAACCCTGTGGCATCCCACTAATGACTTCCTGTCATCCAGAAAACAAAACCCATTTAACCCGACTCTCTCTTCTGTCCATCAGCCAGTCACCTATCCAAGCTAATAAATTACCCCTAATCCCAAATGATTCAACCTTGTGAATTAACCTTGTGTAGCACCTTATCAAACGCCTTCCAGAAGTCCAGATATATAATACAGCTACAGGATCCCCATTGAGATTGAACATTTTATCAAAATAAAGATTTAATTAGACACTAGCATCACACAATCATACACCTGTTATGCAAGTTATAAATATTAATACATTTCTGACTGCAATAACTTTGGAGGCCTTGGTATAACACATACAAGGCATACTCGTTTTCTATTCAGAATGATGCT